ATCTGCCAAGAACGTATATGAACAGGTCTCAGTCAGAGAAAAGGATGGAAGGATCCTGTTCATATGGACCTGTCGTCATATCGATAGAAACTTATTTTAGCTCCAAATCAACATTTGCCTCATTACCCTTGTCTTATTGTGTGGGGACTCCATGTTCACTTTCGGGTTCGGTAAGCCATCTAGTTAGTTAGTCAGTCAACTCATAAACCTGTTCTTCATCGTGAATGTTCTAGACCTTTAAAATCCCCCCCCCCCAAAAAAAAAAGGTTTTATTGTGTGCAGTGTTAACTCGTAATCTTACCTTCACTAGGAGATGTGTACAGTTTCTTGCATACCTCCTGGACTCCACCATATTCTTGCATTTTGGCAATGCCCTCACGGCCCCGGGTCTCCATGAGTTCCCGGAGCTGTTTGAGGGAGATGCCATACTGTGCTGGCCGCCCATCTATTGTTGCCATCCCAAGATCTTCAGGTTGCTACTGCGGTAAGATAGAAAAAGAAACATTCTTAGACAAATGTTCAAATTTTAATTCAAATCGAAGACTTAAAAAAAAAGTATAAACATCATTCCAAAAATTTAATATAATGAACATGTTAACTATAAATATCAAAAAACTTATATCACATTATACGCGTCAGATAAAATATACGTAATAACTCGGGAGTAAAAATTGAAAAAAAAAATCATAAAAAAAAAACGAATTGCAAGATCCTTTAAGATGGATGTACTTGTTCTTATGTGGGAGATTATCAAACCCAAACCTTCGTGCTTCTCTGTTAAATATATTTATAAAAAAACTCGCAACTCCCAGTCATGCAATTCAATGATTCAATGTATATCACAAATTTCATCATAATAACACATAGAAAAATGTCAAAATTCTTTCAAATTCTGCATTTTAGAATTAAATATGGAGTAAATACAAATTGTATAGTTATCACTGGCATAAATGTTACCATATTGTATTACATTACTCCTACAGCATGTAATCACGTCAATAAAAGTACTCAAATGACAGAACTGATATGGACTCAAGGCATTAATTGAAGAAAGAGGACCATTCTACTTCAATATTCTGAGATGAATCATATAATCCTTATGCCACAATACAATTCTAATAAGCATTTCTGTCAATGACCACATTAAGAACCCTAATTCACTTTAAATGCTTGGGTGTTGTGATAATATTCTAGATTAAATCGCTGTGCCACTGTGAAGTAATCTTAAAGCTGAACCCATTAGAACACACGAAAGATTGTCGTCTGTTGTTCGTTCAGTGGTTGTGGAACGAATGCTTTTAGGTTGGCTAGTAGCAGCTCGTCACTCACCGCGAAATCTTGCGCATGCGCGTATATCGAATTCCTAGCAGGGCCTTTCTTCTGGTCTGTGGGCTGTACTTTTCAGAAAGGCCTGAACAAGTCTGTAATTCGAGACTGGAGGACTTGTAACTCAAATTAACCCCTCTGAAATGTCTAGGATCTTGACAAAATGCAGTTATAATAATACCTTGTGCAAAATTTCTGTTACTGTACATTTAAAACACTTGAAAGCTGTCACACATAACCTCAAAGATTTGTCATTGTGTCCATACTTTTAGGGCACACAAAGAATTCTTTGCATAGTTTGTAAATGCCTGCGTACTTTTTCCGCACAAAATTTCTCAAGTCTAGCTATAACAGTTCCATGTACGTATCTTTGCCTAAAATTTGTGGTGGTACTTTTTCCAAACCAAATACAATGGTTATACAACCATAACTCCAGCAAACAAAGTTGTTTGTGATAACGGATTGCATCATTTGAATGTGCAGTTTGCACGATGGCTTTATATTGTACATCATACATCCTTGACTGCAATAAGATGGCAATATTATTCAGTGGGTAAAGCACGGCTTCCAGAGGCACTACTGTGTTATTTCATTTTTGGCGAAACTGTTATTAAAAATGTGGCTATGGGAAATATTTACTTTCTTACTCAGAGAAGTCTTGTATGTTTTGTTGTTGGGACGTTTCAATAAATGTATTGTATTTCTTAACTCTTCTAAATGCGATGTATTGTACTGATTTGTCCCACCATCCTGCTTACTAACTATAAGAAATGAATCTCTACAAAGCATAATATATACAAATATAAATAAGTACCTTTCAAGGTTATGTTACGTAATGTTACCGGACATTTCTGATCTATAACCTACTCACCTCCTTCCGTTGTCTGTGAAGTGATACAAATAAGTTAAATGTAGGCCTATATATTTCCCGAATTACAAATGTGACATACCGGTATTCAAAAATTAAAAAAAACGGGGAATCTTTAATACTCTGTTTTATTAAACATTAAGTTATTTGTTAATCTACGTACTGTACCCGTAACATGTCAGTAGCATCATACAAACCTGTTACGTTCTAACACTTCTTTTCGTTTCAATGTCCAGTGTCTACTCAGGTTTCAACAGAACGTTCTACTGTCGAGTGTCCTGTACACGAATATAACTTAAGGTCATTAACTGCAATGTCTCTCTATAGTCAAACTGTCTTACTTTTCCTTGTCGAAACAAATACAAATTTATGGGAATGACCCGTAGAAATCAACGGAACCAAAAAAATATCAACATTCCGTCGCTCCAAACGCATTAATGTAACTAACAGAAAAAAAAAACAGTCCAGGTACTTTTTTATAATACTACTTCACTTTGTATGACAAAAAAGTAGTTTCAAGTGTGTAATTGTTAATAATAATTGAAACGTTGAGAACCCGACATATATTCAAACAGTATACCGTAGATCAGTGGTATTCAACCTTTTTTGTTCGCGTACCCCCAGATATAATTTCTCTTCAACTTTGTACCCCCAGAGTTGTTGGTGTATAATTCAAGTTATACATGGTATATAATCTACATCTATAATAAATTAAATAAATTACAATACTGATTATTCAGTGTTTATCATAAAATAATTTTTTTTTTAAATTTCACGTACCCCCTAAGATGTCTTCGCGTACCCCCAGATATAATTTCTCTTCAACTTTGTACCCCCAAAGTTGTTGGTGTATAATTCAAGTTATACATAGTATATAATCTACATCTAAAATAAATTAAATAAATTACATTACTGATTATTCAGTGTTTATCATAAAATAATACATTTTTTAAAAAATTTCACGTACCCCCAGATATAATTTCTCTCCATAGATGCTAGTTAAAATACTTAACCATTTACTTCATACGTATTTACGAAGTATCACCATTATTGTTCCATAACAATTTAGAACTGCTTCACCCATAAAAAGAAAGTCCGGAGACGGGCTTGTTTGTAATCCATTAAACAAGTTACGTTTATAAAGCAATTTTATAACAAATAATGACGCTAACTATATCAGTGAAGAACTTCTTAACAGTCCTGGCTAAGGGTAAAACTTATTTTATGTACAAACTTTAGGAATAAAGAACAAAGACATTTCCCAGTGGAATTTTGTTATATAAAACGTGTTTTGTTGTTAAACCGTTTGAAATAAAAAAAAGGGCATATGCAAATAAAATTTATTTTAAAAAGCTTACAATTTCGTGAAGATGTGAATTCAAATAGTCTTACTTACATATTCCTACCAATAGCATTGTCGTCATAGTGCAGACCTACGTAACAAATTGCCAATCGAGTTACCTGGATTGTACAAAATCTGTAGATGTTTTTGGCATGAAATATGTTGATTCAGCAGTTTCGGCAAAAATAGGCACAAAGAGACCGCATTTCAGATCTGATACAATTTCACAAAATTGGGAGAAAAAAAATACATCTTCTAGATTTTTGGTAATTTCTTTTTAACTTCATTTCAACTAGTTCGCATTTTATAACGAAACTTAACCACGGAGTTATCAGGAACGTGCATTCAGAAGTATTAAACCCGCCTTGTTCATCAGGTCCCACTTTAGCCACCAGATCGCAGCACCTAAATGTCTACCTCACCAATTTCCTCATCCATAATTCTGTTATCACCGCTCGTAAAGTATTGAAAAATGTGATTTCGAGGACTTGAAAAATGGCACAACCTCCACATCAAATTTCATCCGAATCCGTCCAACAGTTCTCGAGTTCAATCGACTGGAAGGACGGACAGACACAACCAACTTATAATGCGTTCTCGCTATGCACTTTGTTCAAAGAACACAAAAACTAAACATCTAAATGTAGCGAGGACTTTAGAATACAGCAATGTCGTGAGGTTTCCAATTGATGAAATTCAGAGTTCAAGGCTGTCACTGACGTGGAAGATTTACGAACTGTGGTCCCATAAACGTTTCATGTTTTCTAATGTTTACCGATTCCATGTTACAGAATCGGTCTTCCGGACGAGGTGAAGAGCGAGGCGACCAACCAAAGCACTCAAGGTCAATTTGTTGGAAGTTAAGTTTCAGAAAGCTAGCCTTCGGACGCGGTACAGAACCTGTAAGATCTTACATAGGGTTCGAGCGAGAGGTGGCTGGCTTTAGAAACAAACTGCAGTGATCTGATCGATCTACAGGCTTGCCAACTAAGATTAAATGCTTTAAAAGTCAAAACCTATACTAATTTCATTATACAAAGTACTCATACGAACAACTAATGAATATACTAAATACGTAATCACTATGTATAACGTTCAAACATCACATTGTGACTAATTCTTGGGCGGAGATTCGAACCGGGACGATCCTTCGTTACAATTTCACAGACCCCCAGGTATTTAGCATTTTACGTGTAAAGTGAATTACGAACTTGACAGGCGATGTCCCATCACCACGCATTCTACGCATGCGCAACTTGCTTCAACCACTGCATATCGTTTAACGTATTATTTATCAACATTCAATCAATTGCCAAGGTTATGTAGCGTTTAAAGAGACAAGAAAAAAATATTTATATATTACCACAAAGCCTAAGGGTAAAACTGTAGAAAAGTGGTCGTAGCCTATTTTGAGAAAATCCACAAAATGCCCTCAGAACACGGTGACTCAATCACGGGACGAAATATTATCCACAACTCCCAGACATCAGCTAGAAAGAAGACCATTTACTGAATATTAAACAAACACCTGCTATACGAATAGCTTGTTGCATTTGAACAGAACCCCCTAACCTTATAAAGCAACACTACATCTAAGAGTACTCTTTTAATTGGTATATTACAACGCTTTCCAATTGACACAAACAAATAAGGGAAGATACACACAAACTTGACAATACGCCAGCTCAGAAGCATGTCAACTCTGATGGGACTGCAGAGAATTGAAAATGAGTTGAACCTTCTTACTGCGTACAATTCGTGATGGCTGACCTTCATACCGGCAAACGCACGCACTCATAAGCACAGATAATACCAATTCAGGAGACACCCAGCCAGCCAAGCGCATAGTTCGAACGCACTCAACACGATCGTCCTCACTTTGATGTCCAACGTTCACCATTTACGATGACGTGGCCACGTAATGCAATCGCTGGTTTTTTCAA